CCTAGGCGGGAATGGGGAGAGGTTTACAGAGGTGACGCAAGGTGCTGCTTACAAAATTCGAGGCAACTTCGGTCAAGAGTACCTTTTTCTACTAGTTGAGAAGAATAAAGGCAAAAGAGGCCAAATTGACCATAAACTATCACTCAGAAAGGAAGGGGAATTCCAGACAGCGTTCTTAGAACAGAGCAAAACAGAAACTTTTCCAATGAAAGTTGAAGTAATGCTTTGGCATAATATATCCCTTCTCACCTAACTAGAAATTAACTAAATTTAGTCTGATTTTGCAGTCTGGAAGTCTGGGGGATACAAATTCACGTCAGCTGTAGCGTTCCAGGTGTTTTCTGTTAGTTTTGGGAGGGGGGGCGGGGTAAGGATCCACCGCCCTGACAGTGGCGGGGGGGGGGCGGCCAGACTCAATGCGTGCATGTGTGCGTGCGTGCGTGTGGTGGGGGGGGGTAACGAATGGCACAAATTTCGGCCAGCGGGGTAATCAGACGTAATGGGAATTACTTTGGGATGCAATCAGGTAACCCTACTTGTCAGGCATGCGATTTTAGGTGGGTACACAGTCAGGCTGCGGGCAAGGTGGTTTTGAACGATCCGTAGCACATCGGATTGCCTTGTATTTGACGCTTTTCCTGAAAGCAGAGCGCACATACCTTTATTATTTGAATCTTTTCCTGTTCTGTGGTTCCTTAACTCTATCCACAATTTCATATGAACATCTAGGTTCCGTAATCGACGCTTCTAATGTTTGCATGTGTTGTCCGTGAATTTGGGTTTACACGATTACTATATAATTTGCAAGCGTGTGCTTGTCAGTCCTTGCTTTACAGACGCCTTACACAACACTGATAGTCAGGGAATAATCTTTAGTGTATGTATCTTGAATATGACAGCTTTCCAAAACGTTATTTCACTGTAAATCTTTGTAAAACGGAGAATGGTGAAAGGACGGCGTCAATCAACCCCCGCAGAAATGGCCTCGTCCGTTGCCATGGCAACGGGCGTGGTTACGCAATGCAATTTGTGCTGAAAAATCGGACATTAAATCCTGGGCAAACATTGTTAAAAAATTGGGACCTTAGCACTAATCGTTGATTTTTAATGAATATTTTTCATATTTAATTAAGGTCTCATTCATGAGTTTTTTCCATACATTAGAAACCATGCATTAATGAGTGACTTACGAGACCGTGTTCCCTATGATCCTACATTAAATCAATTGATATCTTTCATGCTATGTTGAGCACACTTACTCTACGTCTCATAAAAAAATTGCCAACGACTTCTATACACACAATCCTGTTTTATGGGAATCACAAACTGCACTTAGCAGCTGTCCGCAAGAGGCCCTCCCGCGCTGCAAACCTACGACCGCACAACTCACAACAATGGACTGTGCACGTCCGACCTAGCGCGCGGCTGCCGACAATTACGTCCTAATTTCATCAGTTACAAACAAGCTTTCACCGCTTTGACGTTTTACATCAGTTGGGATGGCTAAAGGGAAAATTCTCACCAATAAAAACACGCGTTCATACAGCCGTTTAGTTTTTGACTTGGTACTCTTTTAGGGGGTACACTCGGAGTAATACATGAATGAGACCTGAAATGATGTACATATGCAATGTATGTGTGAACATGCCATCTAGCAGATATCAAGGAAATTGCATTAGAACATTATAAAAGTACATTTTTTTTTCAGTTTTAATCAAGATTTATAGAAGTTGAATCAAGTCTAGAAAACCCATGTGTATTTTGTCTGGGCTATAGGACAGTCAGCAAGATAGTATATCATTAGTCTTGATTGGTTTGAAATTAACATTTTGCTCCTTTCTTCTTGCAGCTATCTAGTACTTGAACATGTATCAGGAGGGGAGTTGTTTGACTACTTAGTGAAGAAAGGACGTTTGACGCCAAAGGAATCCCGGAGATTCTTCAGACAAATCATCTCTGCACTGGAATTCTGTCACAACCACTCAGTGTGGTGAGTCCATAGATTTGGTGAAATATTTGTCCCTTTTCTACAAGGTCCCGGACACAGCCCTAATCCTGATGTATTTCAATTTTACCATTTGTTTAACAGTTGCATTTGTTGGATCACTTCAGCTAACATTCCAAGAGTTCAAGTGTACCTTTTCTTGTTCCTCTAAAGTCACAGAGACTTAAAACCAGAGAATCTGCTCCTGGATGAGAAGAACAACATTCGAGTCGCTGACTTTGGGATGGCTTCCTTACAAGTTGGTGACAACATGCTGGAGACCAGCTGTGGGTCAGTGAAGGAAGAATGCTAAATAATTTTTCTTATTTCATTACATAATTAAATATATGTACTATTATTTCCCACATAATTCCATGATCTGGTAATGATTATACTAATGGAAAGTCTTTAGAATAAGACTTTTCAAGAGTTGTTGACACTTTTCAAACAGGTGATACTTTGGAGATCACTGAGTGCTTACTGAAAGACTTGACAGATCTAGAGTCTGTGAAATCCCCACTTTTAGGTTTGCTGTGCTCCCACACCTACAAACAGAACCGTTTTCAGTACCATGGACAGCCACAATCTGTCTTCATGATCAATAGAAGCTTTCCTTACATCTAACTCTAGGTGTTGCCAAAAGTTATGTGAAGATATTCCTACAGAAACTGTACTTTGTAAACAGTAAGTTCTGCTCAGTGACCTAGAAAAAAGGTGATAGTGAGATTAACTAAGCTAATGACTGTATTTTAGATAGGGATTACCCAAGAAAAACGGATAGGTCTCTTGTGCTCCCTCAGGCTTGCTCCCTTGCATGTTTCTTGATTTTGTACTATGGTGATATTGAAATGACCTGTTCCTTTTCCCAGGTCACCACATTACGCATGTCCAGAAGTGATCAGGGTAAGTTCTGATTAAGGATTTTGTCATTTTCCTTTTGTGAGACAGTCAAGAGTAGTTCAAACCTTGCAGTCCTAAGGCTGCACCTTGAGGTCTCCCAAGTTATTATTAATTGCGAAAGGGCAGCAGCTCAAGAGCATTGCGATTCGGCCCCACTGATTGTAAGCTCCTAACAATTTAGCTCTTGGCTGAGTGAGTAGCTGGCCTACTCAATAATGATAATAATTTTCTTTTCCTCAAGAAGTGATAATGGAAAACTTTACACTTAATGTTGCATGCTTGATATTGTATGCTGTGCAAAAAGATTTTAGCATTATAGATATGTAGATATTTCATATAAGATTTTATCACTGCTTGCATAGAACCTGACCAGTTGTACATTCTTCTTTTTAGTATGAATTGAATTTCATTATTTGCTTAACAATTATTGTTTTATCGATATTGCTCAAATCAGCACCGGTTGTAAGTTATTGGGGAAGTGGTCCAGGAATAGAAGAGATGAATAGAGGGCTAACATTATTGATATTTAGATTAGTGTTTTCAGGCGAGGCGAGGCAAATCCATGTCAGCAAATGATGTAAAAGTGCACTCGTCACATGCACTAATAGAAGTGATACATGTGTCTGTTGCAGGGAGAGAGGTATGATGGGAGAAAAGCAGACATCTGGAGCTGTGGAGTTATATTGTTTGCATTGTTAGTGGTAAGTAACAAAGGTCAATGGTAGACAAACTGTTACCTAAACATGCAGTGGTCATAAGAGTTTATTCAAGTTAGATTTTAACATTGCACAGACTGGAAAGACGGTCATGGAATAGTGCTGAGATGAAAAAAGGGTGCCAGCTTATAAAACTGAATTGTTGATATTTTGGAAGAGTACATGTAAAGCTTGGGTCACATCGTAAAATGCACCTATGATGAGAGGTTTTAGGGACATATAGATTTGAGAAAAATGAATGCAATAATTTAAAAATGTAACTATTGCACATATTTCTTCTTAAACCTATATATGACATACTGCCTATTATTGTCACGGAAAGAAAAACTATTGCAAGTGCTTCGTACAATGTGGCTTAAAGCTGTCACTACATATTTATATATTATTATGTACATACATGTATACAATGTATATCATTGATTCATTATTGCAACACTGACTGTTGTGGCTCTGTTTCCACACCTAGGGTGCCTTGCCATTTGATGATGATAACTTGCGGACGTTGTTAGAAAAAGTAAAGAAGGGAGTGTTCCATATACCACATTTTGTTCCACCTGATTGTCAAAATCTGCTGCGTGGCATGATTGAGGTGGATCCTGTGAAGAGATTAACAGTGAGTACTGTGGTAGAGTATAAGTGCAACGTTACCTTAGTGTTAAGTACACATATAATGTCATTTTAAAAGTCACAGCACAGTGTATTACAAATTAACCTTGATGCCAGTCTTTTAGCTATTATATGTTCATCTTCATCACTTCCCGGCCAAAAAGACTGGACCTATCTAGTGATGATGTCACTTAATGAGCTAATTCAACAACTGCATGCTGGGTGAGGCTTTTTCTGATTGGATGATCCCATACTCGGGATGCCTGTTCAAATTATGAACAAATATTCAAATGCAGACATATAGACATATACTAGTAGTCCCAGTCTACCTGGCAGGGAAGGGATGAAGAGAGTGAAATCTATAAAGGGATCAAGGCTACAGTTGTCCAACACAGAGACATGCAGAGACCATAGTGTGGTAGTGATTTTTCATTAGAAACATTTGTGTCCTCTGTTTAATAGATTCATGAAATATTAACAAATGGATTGCAGTAAAAATGACTCTTAATTGAATTAGAGCAACACTTATGTCTTTATAAGGTTAAGGTTTACAATTCTGACTGGTCATAAAACAGTTTCTTTTTACTATTGATGTTTATCAGTTTGACTTGGATATTTAGCTGAGTATGCCAAGTCATTCTTCCAACAAGCTTTGAGATATGTAGATGATGATGACTGAGATACATGTATGATGACTTTTCTCTGGAGGAAGTCTACGAAAAAAAAAAGGATTTTCAAAGCTATGGCATTTTGTGACTGAATGTTTAAGTTATTAAGTTGACGTATGAAATATGTGTTGAATTATATAAGATACCTGCTGTTGTTGTTTGTACTAAAGCCTTTTCTAAACGTTGTAAATTAGACATGGAAAATCAATTAACATCTGACTGTAGACTGGAAGTTGTGTTCAATTTGTGTACCACTGTTTTACCTGGTGTGCCCCTTTGCTACCCCTGTACAGTAAAGAGATTTGTCTCACTTGGGATAAGGGGGGACCAATTTTCCAAGAGTTCACCAGCCAAATTTCTGCTTGTATTTCAGATTGAGAAAATCAAAACTCACCCTTGGGTAATCATGTAAGTACAACTGTCAGTGATCGCCCAACCATGTCAACCCATACCAGTTATGTCAGTGGTCATATACACATCTGTGCTCATGTTTTATATTTTCTCCCTTTGTTTCCCCCAAATACAGCTTGAACAAATACGCAACCACCAATGGTATTTAGGTCCAGAGTAAGTAATCAAATGTATAGTATCTAGGTCTTCTTTTCTCACTTTTCTGTACTTTCATTGAGTGACATCTGCCTTTGTCTGTCTTCTACTGCCATACATTTGTTTACAATGATTATTGTTTCTTGTTAAGTGTGTTTGTATTTGTCAAAATTTTCATCCAAGGTTTTGACCAATTAATTAAAAGTACCATAAATTCACATTGTGTGAAGGTCCTGTAAAATAAGAGTAATGGTAGCAGGAGATTGTAAGCTTTTAATTTGTTTGAAATTAATCAGTAATCCTTGCCTGTATATTTATAATGTTATGTGACAAGCTTGCACCATGAGATGAACCCAGATTCCCAAATCTCTTATGTACATCATTTCGCCTCCTGAAGGAAACATGATTCTATGCTAACAGCTTGGGAATCCGACCAAGACATCTACTAGAGTCAAACCATGGATGGAACTTACTCACTTGTCTACTATTCTTCACCTCACCTCTTCTGCACTGTTTGAAATTTTTGATAATTTTGCTGTTATTTCAATATTATGTTTTTTTCTCCTCACATAATTATTTGCTGTAGTATGACTGCTTGTAGTGACCCGAATCAGTCGCCAAACTTCTTCGATCAGTTGAAGCTGTCTTTGGTGGAGGCCTTTAGTTCTAAAAATGCAAGGTAAAATTCAAAGATTCAAGGTCAACAACCTCCTGGGTTCATTATTCTCTGGTTGCCTGTTTCAAAACACTTTGCAAATGAATGGCATGTCATGACTAGAAGGTGGCTACTTAGGGGGGAGGGAGGCCACAAAGTTTAGGTGTAAAAATTAAGGTGCTGAGATGTGAAAATAATTGTTGACTGACATGCCAGCAGTATGCAAGCCCTGTACTGTGCCCAGTGGTCTCTTATATCCTCCGTATCCATATTAAACTGAAAATACAAAGCTGTCAGTGAATCGTATTGATACTGCATTTTTTTTATAAAAGAGCATATTAGCAAAGTTGTCTAAAAGTTTAGTTTGGCGATAGGTGTCAATTGTAAATTCATGCATTATTACTGTGTATGTTTTTAAGGAGTGTGGTCCACCTGTTTGACACATGATCATCATGCTTCGCCCTTTAGCCTGCTTCAACTGATTTTTCATGATTTCGCCTGACTGCTTAATAACAAATGGAGGGTTTGGCGAAGGTTTGTCCTAGATAATAATGTAAGTGACAAAGGTGGATAGACATGACAACAGTGTAACAGAAATCCATGTCGTTCTGATCATATACATTCAGCTTCTTAGTGTTTTCTTACATCATGCTTGTTTGTCTGAAGCTTGTGCCGCTTGAGTCTGATCTGTGTTTGTAAGCTGTCCCTTCAGCCTGGAAGTTCCATCAGCCTCTGCTGAAGTCGTTCCCTTTTACAAATCATGTCACCTGCTTTGACTTATCCTACAAAAGGACTAGAAATCTGATCTACATGTACATCAGTCTAATTCGTTAAGTGTTTCCTACTCTCCCTATATATACATATATGTATGGTTAGCTGCTGAGGGCTCCTTTCTCACCCTGTCACTCATCCAATTTCATGTACATTTAACTCCTGGAGTATAAATGACAATGAACTTGATTGCATATGCCCAACATGGGCTAAATGCATTAACTTAGATAACTAAACTTGCAACTAGTAAATACTTTTAAAATTCAGATCAACAGATAACTTGCCTTTGCTTCATTTTAAGTTTCACTTTCCTTTAGTTTCTCTCTTCTAACCCTTCTGTATTGCTGAGCACGCACTCTCTCCAGTTTTGCATCTAACATTCTGTTGGACGGCTTGCAATAGAATTCTACAGTTTGACCTTCTCAACTGTGAACATACATGTAGGTGGCTTTCCCCTGATGTTTTTGTCCTGTGGCCTGAGATGTTGTGTGTGTGGTTCTACAGGGGCAGCAGAGATCCAGACCTTGAGAAGCTGCCCAGACATCCGTCAGTGGAGGTGAGTAGAGCTGTGGTGGTGGTGCATGGGACACACTTCTACTTCATCAGTAACTAACACAAACTAACAGAATTCAATGTGTATGGCTCATCATGCTGCACTGTCACTGGAGTTTTCTGAGGAAAAAAGAGGAAACACATATACTGGCTGCAGATGTCACACTAGGGTATTTTGTCCTGTGAGGATAGGGTGTATGATATGCAGTATGTTGATTAATAATTATTTGCAAAGTTGCTAAAGATTTAACTAAAATAGCTACTCAACACCAGAGATCCCTTAATTCTAAAAGGTACGAGGCATGCTATTTCCATATATTTTTGGGAAAGGTAATATAAGTTAAAACCTAGTAAGGAAGTGTTAACAAAACATTCAGGGAATTCTTAATGTATAATGTGAAAGGTTGGAAGAAGAATGACAATAACATGGAACCTAGTGTATTCCAAAGCAGCTACGTCCGATCCCGTCGATGGAGGACATTGACCCTGACGTGCTGGCCAGTATGAACTCGCTTGGCTGCTGGAAGGACAAGAACAAGCTCATCAGGGACCTCCTCAGTGAAGAGTAAGGAAAACCGCACATTCCTCATGCACCAATCTGGTCTTCCTGCAAAAAACATCTTTCTCCTGCAGGAATGAGGAAATAATTTCTGCAGAAAAAACGTGTCTCAATGACATGCAGGAATAATTCTTTTTGCAGGAAACTAATTTTTTTCTCCCTGCAGGAATTCCTGCAGGAGTAAATAATTACAAATTGGTTTGCATGAAAATAATCAACAGCATACATAACAGTAAAAGTATATTGTCAATCAGGTGGTTTTGCCTTGTCACCTTAATGCTTTTGCATTTGCTATCAGCTCACTCACTCAATATCTGGTTTAATATCTCTAACTGTGTGACTTGTTGCTGTAGGAAGAACACTGAGAAGATAGTGTACTTCCTACTACTGGACCGGAAGGAGAGGAAACCCAGCTATGAAGATGAAAACGAGATTCACATACGCAATAGGTGTCCATCAGGTCAGGGCAGTAGCATTAGTAAACTTTCTTCATGATGGAATGTACTTTTACAATGAACTGTTGCCTATTATAGCTGAATATGCTTCACATGCTAATTTGAATTTGCAATTTATTTGGATTGATCAGGAAGCTTGCATACTTCTTATTGGCCATGAATTGCACAGTGATTACTGTAATATTTTGATGATCATTGGTACTAATTATCTGTTTTGCATGCACATTTACATGTATTATCTTTTCCATCTTTATCAATCATTGTTAATTAAAGCTATATAGTATAGGATAGTATAGGATAGTATAGGACAAGCTGTTTCTGCTCTTAAGCAAATGAATAAAAAAACAAAATGCCAATTCCTCTATCTACTAACTGGCACCACCATGTACCTGTAAGTCTATACAAAGCCAGTTGTGCACCTTGTAATGCACCTTATCCTCTCCCCAGATGATCCACCCAGAAAGAGAGTGGACTCTCTCTCGTTGAACGGCAGGCGGCGCCCGGAGCGCGGCCTCTCCATGGACGCGTTACACAACGGTACAGGCTCTCCGCCCATGTCGGCGAGACGAGCCATTGAAATTGCACAGCAGGGCCAGAGGTACCGGTAATTATTCCTTTCCTCCCTACCCTGAGTCTTACCCTGGACGGATCCCACCAAGTAACCTTTCTCATTCTTAACACACACATCAGCCTCCTCAAACCAAACTGATGGAGCTACATCCACACGAGAAGTGTTGTGCTCCGCAGGCTTGGGTTGAGCTCCACACATCACTCTGCTGTCATTCAAAGGGTCGTTTGTACAAACTGTATAGACTAGTGCTGTGTGCCCAAACATAACATCAGGTACAGGTACCTGTACAGAGGTTCTGAACAGTTCTACAAAGTAACTTGTCAGGTCAATGTGGCATGAGTAAACCTTTTTTTTGAGCACAGTAAGTAAAAAAGTTACACACTTGAGTGTAAGTCTATTCATGTATAGTACCAGTACATTGATGTTCCAGTAATTTGGACCTGTCCTCAAATTATCTTTGCAGTACTGTTCAAGTACTGGGTATGCAGCACTAGTTAAGACCCTTTGGGTATCAGGGTTGTGTGAAGGACTTATGTGACTCTGAGAAGGAATTCCCCACATGTAGAGCCCAGCTACTACCATAATTAACCATGCAGCATCCAAGGCTCCCTTGTGTCCCCAGCAACATCGTAATGATTACTAATAAGACTAATGTTTGAGGACTGTTGTATTTGTCCAGGATTCACAGCTAACTTCTCAAATTTCTGCATTGTATATAAAGCTCTGAGATCATGTGAACACTTGGTATCATTCATTGACTTGCAAACAAGCAATGAGTCATTTGACCTTGCAGACCTTAACAAGGAGTGAACAAGGAAGAGTACTTATAGAAGTTGACAGGAGGATAGCAAGGGTAGAATTTGCACCCAAAATGTATTTAAGTGTAAAGCTAACAGCTGTTCAGGTGATTTCTTGCTTCTTTTTTCATGAGTCTACGTGTTGCCTTTAATTTGATATTCCTTCGAGCTTGAGTAGTGAAGAGCTGTAGGAATATACTTAAACTTAGATATAGTTGAATCTTACAATAAAATCTTTATGGATTCTACCACTTACACATGTATGGAGTCATGGACCACACATCCACAATGGCAGATGAAGAATCAGGGAATCTTATACATCATACATTATCCAACAATATTTTGTAATTCTCCCATTTGTGCAAGAAAACAAATTCTTCCAATTACAATTGATTGAGAAAATGTAAGTTGGGGAAGGCTGTGTCACACAAAACTTATGTCACTTACGTACATGTAAGGTAAGATGCATTGAAGATTACGCCATTTGCAGGCTTCTTATTCTTGTTCTTTATTTTCCAGGTCCCGCAGTTTGTCGACAACTCCCATGTCGTCCCCCTACCACAGTCCCAAGGTCACTCCGCAGCACACCCCACACCACACACCAAAGGGAAGTCCTCTCCACACCCCCGTCCACACCCCACGGAACCTCACCCCCACATCCAGCCCCACCCCCACGCCACCGGGCAGCCCAGGGATGGGCGGCCAGGCTGAGTGGAAGAGGAGGTTAACCACCATCAAGAACAGCTTCCTGGGATCCCCTCGCTTCCACAGGAGGAAGCTTCAAGGTAGAATCAAGTTGAGGTCTGGATATTGTGTGGGGGTTCTTATATATGTGTCCTTAACTTTCAAACAGGGACATCCATTTATACATAAACAATTGGACCTTTATGTTATGGTACCCCTATATTCTCCTGCATTAAGGCACAGGGTTAGGGATAGTGTTGTCAGAACTTAGGTCGAGTCATTGGAACATATAGCGATCCGTTCATGGATTCTTATATTGATGCAGCTTCACACAGCATGTCACAGTACTAGTATGACAGTGATGAAACTACCCATTCTATAGATTGACTTACTAACTACAATCAGAAATGAACAGAAATTGCTTGTCTGAGCAAACATAAGAAACTGTAAGGCACAGTTAACTTGTGCCTGAATATGTAACTGAATATGTATCTGATGCCATTGTACCAAAAATAATACACAGAGCAAACAGGAATAACTTTAAAACTGTTGCAGCATGTTTTGAGGCTATAGCCAATATTACAGTCTACCTTAAGACCATTGAGAACATCTTAAAGAGCAAGAGCAGAACAACACAAATCTCATTTTACTGGTTAATTCAACAATTCATTATTTTATGTGTTGGTGCAATTTTCAACACTTGTACAAAAAATGCACTGAGACTATTATATGTAGTAGCATGCCTTCCATGCCACTTTAAGCATGTGCTGTGCAGAGTGTAGAGTAGAATAGAGTGCTTAGAAGGAGGTGCTAATGTATGATTTCATACGCTGTCCACTCACTCGCCATCTCATTCCATCTCTGCTTCTCTCATTCTCT